AGACTCGAACCTACGAACCTTAGAACAAGGTACGCAGTGCTATACCAATCTACCCACACTGGACAATACTTCGGAGTGTAGCATGCGCTGCACGTTGATCCAAGGCAGCCAGCTTTCAGGGAGAAGGCTTACAGCTTTTCATCTCATCCCCTGCATGCATCAGCCTTACTAGAGATTTTAACAACCCTTATCTATGTTCACTTTCAACTTTCTACCTTCGTAGGTTCGAGTCTCCTTCAGCCAGAGATCAGTGTTTGTGTATATTTCGCCTGCTCTTGCGAATTCCTTGTATATATATATATATATATATATATATATATATATATATATATATATATATATATATATATATATATATATATATATATAAATATAGGGAAGTACCACCTCTATAGCTGGAATGGGGACCCTCATCCTCAGAGAAGACAATAAACGTACCTCAGGGAAAACTCAAGGTTCTCCCCGGAGCTGTTTGAATATTTTCTTCTACCACCCCTATATATATTATATATATATATATATAATATATATTATATATATATATATAATATATATATATATAATATAATATATATATACATAATATATATATATATATATATATATATATATATATTATATAATACATATATACATATATATATATATATATATATATATATATATATATATATATATATATTATATATATATATATATATATATAATATATATATATATATATATATATATATATAATTATATATATATATTATATTATATATATATATATTATATATATATATATTTACTGAGAGTTCCTTGTATATAATCTTTTATTCTTGACTGGTGGCGATGTAAGTTTATTTAGGTACAGGTACACTTAAGTACAATTATCATACATAGTTTAAGATATGTGAAAATTATCTAGGATAACCTCAAAAAAAGTCAAAGTGACAAATTTCCACTGAGGATCCTGCACTGTATTAATATTTAAAGCCCAGCAGTTAGTTACAGTAGAAATGAATCATGATTATATTATATTCTTAAAAATTAAAACGAGTAACTCAAGTGTGTGGAAATCAGTTATAGTGAAGAAGATACAATAGGAATATAGTAAAGTGAGTTATTTACATGAATATCAGAGAGGATTAGTTTAGAAAATAGGTACACCAGTGTCAGCTGTTACAAGACCCTTTTTGTAGCTTCATTTATTAGGTGCCTTAATGGCTCTCTTCTAGAAATGGCTCGTGTTGTGACAGGTTTTGACATGTATAGGTAATCCGTTCCATTTCTCTATTGCTGTACAGTAAAAGGTGTTTGAAGCCTGACTCCCCTGAAGTAGGTACTACAAGATTATGTTCACTCTCCCTTGTACTACATTGGTTTTGGTTGGCAGTAAGATATTCTGGATACTGCTTGTGAGCAGTTGTATAAACGTGATTTAACTTCAGTTGCTTTACTCTGTCTTCAACATTCAACACATTCAGTTGTTGTAATTCATCCTGGCCTCTATGTTCTCTTGGACTCAGGTCCAGGACGAGTCTTACCATTTTGTTCTGGCCGATTTCTCGTCTGTTATTTTTTTTTAAGGCAAGAGTACCATAAAGAACAAGAATAATCTATATAGCATTGTATGAAAGCTAGTTAGTTATTATACACCCCATACCCATACTGTGGGCGGTAGGCAAAAAGATTACAGAGGTACATAATGGGTCCAGGGACCGGACCCCAAAGTTTTGGCACCTGAACAAGTTACAGAGGTAATAAATCATTCACTCGTCCAGTAAGCAAAGTCAGGGTATTTTTCCCAGAATGGTTTGTAATATACTACTGTGGATAAAATACTTTGATATATATCTTGACCATTTTTGAGTGAGTTAGACATAGGATCCTGCCAGCTTAGGTAGACACTGTGCCTCAGTAGATAGACACTGTGCCTCAGTAGGTAGACACGGTGCCTCAATAGGCAGACACGGTGCCTCAGTAGGCAGACACAGTTCCTCAGTAGGTAGACACTGTGCCTCAGTAGATAGACACTGTGCCTCAGTAGGTAGACACTGTGCCTCAGTAGGTAGACACGGTGCCTCAGTAGGCAGACACTGTGCCTCAGTAGGCAGACACAGTGCCTCAGTAGGTAGACACTGTGCCTCAGTAGATAGACACTGTGCCTCAGTAGGTAGACACTGTGCCTCAGTAGGTAGACACTGTGCCTCAGTAGGTAGACACGGTGCCTCAGTAGGCAGACACTGTGCCTCAGTAGGCAGACACAGTTCCTCAGTAGGTAGACACTGTGCCTCAGTAGATAGACACTGTGCCTAAGTAGGTAGACACTGTGCCTCAGTAGGTAGACACTGTGCCTCAGTAGGTAGACACGGTGCCTCAGTAGGCAGACACTGTGCCTCAGTAGGCAGACACAGTTCCTCAGTAGGTAGACACTGTGCCTCAGTAGATAGACACTGTGCCTAAGTAGGTAGACACTGTGCCTCAGTAGGTAGACACTGTGCCTCAGTAGGTAGACACGGTGCCTCAGTTTACCTGGAGTTTACCTGGAGAGAGTTTCGGGGGTCAACGCCCCCGCGGCCCGGTCTGTGACCAGGCCTCCTGGTGGATCAGCCCCTGATCAACCAGGCTGTTGCTGCTGGCTGCACGCAAACCAACGTACGAGCCACAGCCCGGCTGATCAGGAACTGACTTTAGGTGCTTGTCCAGTGCCAGCTTGAAGACTGCCAGGGGTCTGTTGGTAATCCCCCTTATGTGTGCTGGGAGGCAGTTGAACAGTCTCGGGCCCCTGACACTTATTGTATGGTCTCTTAACGTGCTAGTGACACCCCTGCTTTTCATTGGGGGGATGGTGCATCGTCTGCCAAGTCTTTTGCTTTCGTAGTGAGTGATTTTCGTGTGCAAGTTCGGTACTAGTCCCTCTAGGATTTTCCAGGTGTATATAATCATGTATCTCTCCCTCCTGCGTTCCAGGGAATACAGGTTTAGAAACCTCAAGCGCTCCCAGTAATTGAGGTGTTTTATCTCCGTTATGCGCGCTGTGAAAGTTCTCTGTACATTTTCTAGGTCGGCAATTTCACCTGCCTTGAAAGGTGCTGTTAGAGTGCAGCAATATTCCAGCCTAGATAGAACAAGTGACCTGAAGAGTGTCATCATGGGCTTGGCCTCCCTAGTTTTGAAGGTTCTCATTATCCATCCTGTCATTTTTCTAGCAGATGCGATTGATACAATGTTATGGTCCTTGAAGGTGAGATCCTCCGACATAATCACTCCCAGGTCTTTGACGTTGGTGTTTCGCTCTATTTTGTGGCCAGAATTTGTTTTGTACTCTGATGAAGATTTAATTTCCTCATGTTTACCATATCTGAATAATTGAAATTGTGTCTGCCTCAGTAGGCAGACACAGTTCCTCAGTAGGTAGACACTGTGCCTCAGTAGGCAGACACAGTTCCTCAGTAGGTAGACACTGTGCCTCAGTAGGTAGACACTGCCTCAATAGGTGGACACTGGGCCTCAGTAGGCAGACAGTTCCTCAGTAGGCAGACACTGTACCTCAGTAGATAGACACAGTTCCTCAGAAGGTAGACACTGTGCCTCAGCAGGCAGACACAGTTCCTCAGTAGGTAGACACTGTGCTTCAGTAGGCAGACACTGTACCTCAGTAGACAGACACAGTTCCTCAGAAGGTAGACACTGTACCTCAGTAGGCAGACACAGTTCCTCAGTAGGTAGACACTGTGCCTCAGTAGATAGACACAGTTCCTCAGAAAGTAGACACTGTACCTCAGTAGACAGACACAGTTCCTCAGAAGGTAGACACTGTGCCTCAGTAGGCAGACACAGTTCCTCAGTAGGTAGACACTGTGCCTCAGTAGATAGACACAGTTCCTCAGAAGGTAGACACTGTACCTCAGTAGATAGACACAGTTCCTCAGAAGGTAGACACTGTGCCTCAGTAGGCAGGCACAGTTCCTCAGTAGGTAGACACTGTGCCTCAGTAGGTAGACACTGCCTCAGTAAGTGGACACTGTGCCTCAGTTGGCAGACAGTTCCTCAGTAGGCAGACACTGTACCTCAGTAAGTAGACACAATTCCTCAGAAGGTAGACATTGTGCCTCAGTAAGTAGACACAATTCCTCAGTAGGTAGACACTGTGCCTTAGTAAGTAGACACAATACCTCAGTAGGTAGACACTGTGCCTCAGTAAGTAGACACAATTCCTCAGTAAGTAGACACTGTGCCTCAGTAAGTAGACACAATTGCTCAGTAGGTAAACACTGTGTCTCAGTAAGTAGACACAATTCCTCAGTAAGTAGACACTGTGCCTCAGTAAGTAGACACAATTGCTCAGTAGGTAGACACTGTGCCTCAGTAAGTAGACACAATTCCTCAGTAAGTAGACACTGTGCCTCAGTAAGTAGACACAATTCCTCAGTAAGTAGACACTGTGCCTCAGTAAGTAGACACAATTCCTCAGTAAGTAGACACTGTGCATGTCTATAGAGGAACTTTAGCCTAACATTCGCTATTTTCACTACAATGTTCTCTATCAGTTCTCTTTGTGAGACTCGTACAACCTAGCATAACTATGGGCTATTCGAAGTAAGAAATATGCACTGTTAGCCTGCTTTGTAACTCAAATGTATATTCTTAGGAAATAAAAGTTATCTGTTTTATTCTGTGGAGAAAAACAACAGCCACTGAACGAAAGAAAATGGATACCAAAGAAAGAGGAGAAATGTTTTACGGGGTAACTTGTTTATTAAGGTTCTAATTTTGTGTTGTCACTATGGATTCCTTTAGTTATGTATGCATAAAACCTAGATAAGTATTTAGTCTTTGAACCTTTAGTGCTTGTGTTTGGCAGTGTTTCTGGCTTGGTGACCCTTGCAGACGTAGGCAGTTTTTTTTACTAGTGATACGGTTAACAGTTGTGTTAGGTAGCTACGGTGGTGTGTGTTGTGGTGGTATGTGGCAGCACAGGAGCATGTGTGTGTGTGTGAGGGCACTCGGACCCCCTCACTCGCGCCCCTTACCTCTCATCAGCACCATTGTACTCCAGTCTTGTACTGGTAACCACTCAACACACTTCTCCACGCTTCACTCCAGGTTTTCTCCCCACTCCAAACCCTATACTCGCTCCACACATCATTTCAAACTACCCTCCAGGTCATGCTTCCACTCCACAACCTGTACCCGCTCCACACACACACAGAAGTGAGGCCGAAGTACCTACTTGCCTTCTGCGGATTGCCTTATCTGCTCTTAAACTTAGTGGTGAAAAAACACATGAAATACGTAAAGTGCCTTAGAAAAACGTTTTGAAGAAATTGCAACGAAGGAAGAGCTATGATAAAAGCGTGTGTGTAAATATGTGTTGTGTGTGTGTTGAGCCGCAGTATCTGCCCTGGTTTCCCATGACAGAGGAAATGACGTTAGGAACAATGGAAAAGCCTCCTCGCAGCACGCTGAGGTGAGAGTTAGAAGTCACATAGTAACTGGGAAGCTACTATGGCAGAGTACCATAGTTCTTGATACCCTAGGCAGGCCGAGGGCCAGTGATGTTGACCTCCCCTAGCTATCAGGAATTTACAAATAAGTTATATGAGCCTAGTCTGTAATGTGAGTCATCGCACATTGGGGCACTCCTTCACCATCTGCAGGTGGGACGCTCGTTTCCCAGCTGCAGCTGGCATACCCTACCTTCCATCCACAGCTGTAGGTGGCGCACCTTTCTCCCCCAGCTCCTGGTGGAATACCTGGTGATACCCTCCTTTCCCAGCTGCTGATGGGATAACCTTCCTCCCAGCAGAAATCTGAAACTGATGACTTTGTAAATTCCTGATGGAATAATTATGAGGGTTTTAAATATTATTTTTGTTATTTAGGGAACTGCATCATAGACTTAAGTATATTAAAAAAATGAATGTGTCATTATAACATTTTAAAACATCATAAATAATAACATACGAAATTTTAGGCTTTCTTCTTAACTCTTATGGCAAAATTTAGTTCTTTAAGTGTATTTCACTTCTGTGTTGCTGTTCTGAAATGCAGAATTTGTTCGTAGCGTCAACTCCGGTGAATAGATTTAATTTTGTTTTAGTCAGGAGTAATTGCTAAATAGGTAAAGGTTACCTAACTCCCGGGGAAAGGAGGCATTCAGATTCGATCCAAAGAAAGGGAGGGTAAGTCCAGTTTCTTGAATCAACAGCCCTCCCCGGCATCAAGGCACCTTCCTCTAGGGTTCCGTTGCATGTAGACCAGGTCCCCAGGTGTCCACGCTCGGGTAAGCTAGGTGTCCTGCTGCCGTTCTACCGTCCCCTGGACTGCACACCAGCGACTGTTTTATACCGCGTCCTCGTCATAGAAAAAGGCGAAATAATTCTGACGAATAAACAGGTAACAAATTTCGTTGGAAAAGAAATCTCTAGCTCTGTGACATTCATTCATCATCACTAACAACCTACACCACAATTGATGGTAAAAAGTACTGATTTTCGCCAAGAGGACACTTTTCACCATCTTGGCAACCTAACCTAGCTGAAATATTCATATTGCGTCGTCCATTGTGTAAGCACCTGTGCATGACGGGTGCTTCATTCTTCACCTGTGTACCATGGATGCATCATTCTGCACCTGTGCACCACGGATGCTTCATTCTACAATATGCAAACTTAAGTATGACCAAAGCTGAAGGTGTCAACAGTATAGTGAATGAAACTTGTGCCTCGGTTGAATATGAACATGAAGTAATTAGTTTCATCATCACTTAGACACCCAGGGGATCTAGACTCCCAGGCTGCAGTTAGGTATTACAGCCAGAATTAGTTTCAAAGCAATAAGTTCTAACTAATCCTTCACACCACACAAACGCAGGCAGCATGCTATTCTTTACACTAATTCCTTCGTTGCTGTCTAGTCAACCAGGCACACACGGTCACAGGTCAACCAGGCACACACGGTCATAGGTCAACCAGGCACACACGGTCACAGGTCAACCAGGCACACAGGGTCGCAGGTCAACCAGGCACACACGGTCACAGGCCAACCAGGCACACACGGCCACAGGTCAACCAGGCACACACGGTCGCAGGTCAACCAGGCACACACGGTCACAGGTCAACCAGGCACACACGATCACAGGTCAACCAGGCACACACGGTCACAGGTCAACCAGGCACACACGGTCACAGGCCAACCAGGCACACACGGCCACAGGTCAACCAGGCACACACGGTCGCAGGTCAACCAGGCACACACGGTCACAGGTCAACCAGGCACACACGATCACAGGTCAACCAGGCACACACGGTCACAGGTCAACCAGGCACACACGGTCACAGGCCAACCAGGCACACACGATCACAGGTCAATCAGGCACACACGGTCACAGGTCAACCAGGCACACACGGTCGCAGGTTAACGTAAGATTCATTACCTCAGCCCGTCCTCACATTCATTTTCAGCTGTAATTTAAACGCGCATATACAAGTCGATAAGTAAAAAAAAAATCAAGCCTTGCATTCAGACATACAGACATAACTGTGTACATAAACCATACCACGGAAGGAGTTAGAACCCGCGATCAATGAGTCAAAACTCCAGACCGACGCGTCAGCCACTGGGCCAGCTAGCCACAATCAAATTCATCCAGCTAGGTACATTTTCACCATAGGAAGGTTAGCATAGGCACTACTGTCACCACAAATACAAGTTTTTAAAGACGAATCTCCAGCTAGCATGGCCATAATGAACTCTAGCTCAAGTCCCTTCAAAGCCGTCAGCATGACTCACGAAATTCGTAATGGCACTTTCGCAATCGTGTCATTACGATTTCGCGAGTGGTGACAGCGTACATCTTCGTATGCAGACATGTTATAATTACCGTACGTACTTATAGCATCACAGATTCAAGCTCAACATCATATCTGCATTTACACCAAAATTCTGTTAAGTCTACGGGAGCAGATCAGATTTTTGTTTACTTATCGGCACCCACTAGGTGGCAAATTCTAGCTCAATAATTTGACGTGGTCTGTACCTGTAGATTAAATTTTCAGGTGGTAAAAATTTGAGAGTAGCGGCTCTATTATGAGCTCCTACCTGTAAAAATCCGGCACAACAAAACCGATAGGTATAAAATAAATTGAATCTAATATAGTCACCAAGTTACTTTTTAAATTTTTTGTCATTGTTCACATCTGAGTTAGATATCCATCTACACAAGAACATTTTCGTCGAATTGTGAAATTTAAGTGCACTAACAACTCTTAATTTAACGAATTTAGGCTATGAAGATTTTTTTTTTCAGGGGGGGGGGTGAGGGGGAGATGCTTCACAGTCAACTAATAAGAACATAAGAAAGAAGGAACACTGCAACAGGCCTACTGACCCATGCGAAGCAAGTCCATGTCCCCTCTCTGGATAAGACCAATGACCCCCCCCAGTCTGAAACTTTTTTTTAATTTAACAGAGCTTTTCCGAAATTGCATGATATGTATTATGTCCTTTTGTTCAAATTATGTTTAAATTTGTTGATTAATATACATATATATATATATATATATTATATATATATATATATATATATATATATATATATATATTATATATATTATATATATATATATATATATATATATATATATATGAATGAGAGAGAGAAAGAGAGAGAGATCAATTTACTTAAATAAAAAGAATTATACTATCATATTTTTATATTCCAAAACACTATTTGTAAAAGCGTCATGAATATAAGAAACATCAAATGAAACATAAATGTTTTAAATGCGAAATATTATTGTCATGTGAATGTTGGTGAAATGTTGATGCCAGAACTGTGCCTGGATGAACAAACCATACCAAGGGTAGGGTTTGTACCCGCGGTCAGAGAGTCTCAAAACTCCAGACTCTCTGACCGCGGGTTCAAACCCACACCCGTGGTATGGTTTGTTTGCAATCGTGTCATTACGATTTCGTGAGTCATGTGCCTGGATAGTCTAGCTATCCTTTATTTGTCTATTATATGTACATGTTACCGTAGTTTATTCGTTGTCCGTTCTCTTCATCAGAATCAAAATCGTCCACTTCCACTTCAAATTCTTCCTCGTCGTCAATTTTATGGTTGGTGCACGTCTGCAACGTGCACGTCTGCAACGTGCACGGGTCCATACTGATTACCCTAGCTGCCTAGCATAAGCAATTTGGACGTCTGGAGGCGCGTGCACACACACTTGTAAGACACGAGCTGCAACACAACATCTGGTGACGGTGTAACTCTCATTCACTGTATAATCAAGATTGCCAGCACCACTGTGGTCCAGACACATACCTTTGCATCTGCCTCAGCTGGTGGACTCACTAGGCATCACCTCTATATCGTAGTCATGCAAGCGAAGTGTGTCCATGCATACTGGAAGCTGATTGGATCCCATCTATTCAGGTTTTTCACATAAGAGATGGTAGTGGAGTTTATTGGCTTCATTCGTGTTGGATGAGGATGTAAACAGTGGATACAGAAAGGGTTGCAACTTTTTAGTTGGCTAAAATGCTGTATCCCAGGTTTACCCAGTAAAATAAGAGTACCTGTAGCGTAACGCCATTAATGTACAGTACTCGCCTCATTTCTCCTTTCCCTTTTCATATCTGACATATGCAAAACAACTACTGTGAAAAAGTAGTGAAATTCCAAGAGCTTTCGTGATGTCTCACATCAACGAACTTGGAATTTCACTATTTTTTTCATAGTGGTTGTTTTGCATGTTGTGATATCACCGGTTTACTGTGATCTTAATGCATATTTGACATAGATTGATAGACAAATTGTAGCACTGTATCATCTTTCGCAAAAAAATACTAGAGTTTGTGTAAGAGTATCCACGGAGGACACAGCAGCCTAGCTGATTCACAAGCAACCCACAACACCGAGATGAACAGACACACCGAAAGGACGTCTAGTGTCTATTTCAGTTTGTAGGTTAGTCATTAAACACACACACAGCCAGGAGCTGTGACTCGATCCCTGTAACCACAATTAGGTGAGTACACACACACACACACACACGAGAGAGAGAGAGGTTACCAGTCAGTGTTCAGTCGTGTTGTTACAAAACAGGAAGTTGTCATGTTACCTAGACTCGCCCATCAGAGTGACGCTACTTCACTCTGGGTTACCGTCACGCGACCACTACACATGTTACTTATATGATTAGTGCGTAGCGACGGTGGTGATCCATCTGGCAACCAGCATCACGTGTCCCGTACCTAGCGTGTCTCTGTCTCACGCTACGGAGACAGATTAGTGTGTCTGTGATTAGTATTTCTCTCCCCACACAGAGAGATAGTAAGTTGCAGTTTGTCGCTCTCCTCGTACAGAAAGGATTAAGTGTGTGTCTGATTGCCTCTCTCCTCGTACAGGAAGAGAGAGAGAGAGAGATAAAGACAGGAAGAGTTCAAGAGGAGTGAGAATGA